CCTACAGACCTTTATCTGATCTTGCTGAGGAATGGCATAAAGAACTGATGAAACAATTCAGTACAGATTTCTAAGACCTAATTGCAGAAGTGGTCTTCAACTCAGGGAAGCTTATATGAATAAAACATTAAAAGTGTCACTAGGCTCTTCATTAATTTTTGTACATTGTTTTCACCAATTATAGTTTATAAAATTATGTAAATGTAAAGGTTCCTCTTGACATTTAGTCCAGTCTTGTCAGACTCTAGTGGGCAGTGCTCATCCCTATTTCCAAGCCGTAGATCCAGTGTTTGTCTGTAAACAGTTTCCGTGGTCACATGGCCAGCATGACTAGACACAGAACGCCATTACCTTCCCATCATGGTGGTACCTATTTATCTACTCGCATTTACATGCTTTTGAACTGCTAGTTTGGCAGGAGCTGGGAAAAGCGACAGGACCTCATTCCATCACGTGGATTCGATCTTACGACGGCTCGTCTTCTGACCTTGCAGCACAGAGGCTTCTGCGGTTTAACCCACAGCGTCACCACGTCCCACTAATAAAATTATGTACAAAGGTTTAAATAAAACTGAGGTAATTTACCCAAGCTTCCAAACTGTATTCAAAGCTATATGATGGCAAAAAATTAAACAGCAAAGAAAAAGAGAGTGTAAAAGGCAAGATACTGACACCTTTTAAGGACTAATGAATCATTTCAGGGTGAGCAAAATCTACTTTTTCAAACAAAAAGTGTGAATACACGTCCCCTGTAATTTATACGTATCCTCATAATGATGGAAGTCATGGCAAGTAGAGGATTCTGGTAATCAGTGCCAATGGTTCATTAACGCAGGAATCTGACTATCAAGCTATTAAATATGTGAGGGTGCAGGCCCAAACCAAGATGATAGACTATGCAAATTAGATTTAGTTATCATGGAAATACTTAGAGTTAATTTTGGGCAGAAATCAGAGTCTGTCAAGGGAGACAGCTATTTTATACCTGTAAGATGTTGCAGGAAGCTGCATTTTTAAGATATGTAGTGAGTTATGAAATTTTGATCTCTACATCTTTAGAGATGAACTGGAATTTCCATTTTTTTCCTCATTTTTCCTTTCTAATTCCTTTTTCTACAATGTCCACTTTGAGATCCATAACAGAGTGTCCTGGGAAACAGGCAGAAGTGTTCTGAAACTGATTTCTCTGTATCGTCATTCCTGATGTAAGATTTGTATCCATTCTTTCTTTAACACAGAGATTGTCCTCTTTGTCCTATATAGAATGCACAGGGGCCTTGTTGGTAGAAGATGGCATAAATCAAATTCTCAAATGAACAAGTAAACCTCTGATGTTGTGTCTGGCATTGTTAGGGTCCTTCATGGTACTTCCAGTGTAAATATGGGGACACAATTGGCATCTAGATTTGGCAAGATTTTGCTCCAGTCTCTGTATTGCCTATTGTGTATCAGTAGTTATTCAAGATTGTGGGGAGGGTTGTCTGTAGACAAGTACACGTCAGTCTTCTGAAGTCTGGGAGAAACAAGTATTACTGTCCAGAATGGGCTGCAGGTCATTGATAATACATCTCACTTGGCACCTAGAAGTGACTACATGTGGTATTCTGTTTTCTCTCTTAGCTCTGGGTTGTAGTAGGTTCTTCCTGGGTACTAATCTGGCTCAGTCAATTTACTTTCTCACTATGTTAAATGAGTATTATAGTTTAAGAAATGTCCATTATTAACTCCATGGGTTTTGAGCCTGCTTCTTGTGGTTCTTGAGATTGGCTATACCAAATCTTTCTGGTATAATTCCTCTGTGTATTCTTGCCTCCTCTTCTTGATGTCTTCTGCTTCTGTTAGTTCCCTCCCATTTTTGTCCTTTATCATTTTGATCTTTGCACAAAATGTTCCTTTAATATCTTCGATTTTCCTGAACAGATTTCTGGTTTTTTCTTTTCTATTATCTTCCTCTGTTTCTTTGCATTGTTCATTTAAGAAGGCCCTCTTGTCTCTCCTGGCTATTCTTTGGAAGTCTGCATTCAATTTTTTGTAACTTTCCCTATCTCTCTCGGCATTTTGTTTCCCTTTTCTTCTCTGCTATTTGTAAGCCCTCATTGGACAGCCACTTTGCTTTCTTGCATTTCCTTTTCTTTGGGATGGTTCTTGTTGCTGCCTCCTGTACAATGTTACGAGCCTCTATCCAAAGTTCTTCAGGCACTCTGTCCACCAAATCTAGTTCCTTAAATCTGTTCTTCACTTCTACTGTGTATTCATAAGGAATTTGGTTTAGATTATATCTGACTAGCCCAGTGGTTTTTCGTATTCTCTTCAGTTTAAGCTTTAATTTCGCTATGAGAAGCTGATGATCAGAGCCACAGTCAGCTCCAGGTCTTGTTTTTGTTGACTCTATAGAGCTTCTCCATCTTTGTCTGCAGAGAATATAATCAGTCTGATTACGGTACTGCCCGTCTGGTGATTTCCATGTGTAGAGTCGCCTCTTGTGTTGTTGGAAAAGAGTGTTTGTGATGACCAGCTTGTTCTCTTGACAAAACTCTATTAGCCTTTGTTCTGCTTCGTTTTGAACTTCAAGGCCAAACTTTATAATGAAACATCTTTCTTTGGTGTCAGTTCTAGAAGGTTTTATAAGTCTTCATTGAATAGGTCAGTTTCAGTCTCCTCAGCATTGGTGGATGATGCATAAACTTGGATTATTGTGATGTTGAAAGGTCTGCCTTGGATTTGTATTTAAATCATTCCATCATTTTTGAGATTATATCCCATTACAGCTTTTCCCACTCTTTTGTTGACTATGAGGGCTGCTCCATTCCTTATACGGGCTTCTTGCCCCCAATATTAGATATGATAGTCATTTGAATTGAATTTGTCAATTCCTGTCCATTTTAGCTCACTGATGCCAAGGATGTCAATGTTTATTGTTCCTGTCCATTTTAGCTCAGATGCCAAGGATGTCAATGTTTATTCTTGCCATCTCCTGTTTGACCACATCCAGCTTCCCAAGGTTCATAGATCTTACATTCCAGATTCCTATGCAGCATTTTTCTTTGCAGCATCGGACTTTCCTTTCACTGCCAGGCATGTCCACAGCTGAGTGTCCTTTCGGCTTTGGCCCAACCACTTCATTAGCTCTGGAGCTACTTGCACTTGTCCTCCGCTCTTCCTCAGTAGCATGTTGGACACCTTCCAACCTGAGGGTCCCATCTTCCAGCGTCATATCTTTTAGCCTTTTGTTTCTGTTCATGGGGTATTCTTGGCAAAGATACTGGAGTGGCTTGCCAATTCCTACTCCAGGTGGATTGCATTTAGTTGGAACTCTGCACTACGACCTGTCTGTCTTAGGTGTCCCTGCACAGCATAGCTCATAGCTTCCCTGAGTTACTCAAGCCCCTTTGCCACGACAAGGCAGCAATCCATGAGGGAGATATGTATGGCTATAGCTGTACAATAAATCTGAAGATACATTATTCCCAAAGGTGATATAATTATGTGTGGGTACAGTCACAGAGCTTGGTAGTCAAATTTGCTGTGGCCTCATTTGGAATGGTATACAGATACAAATGTCCTTTATGATGGCTTGTAGACCATCTTTGTGAGAAATATCAGTGTAAAGTGGCTGTCATCCATGATAGCTAGGACACTGTCCTTTGGAAAATTGCGAATGACCTCTAGTATTCTGAGGAGGTTGGTTGTGTCTCTTATGTAGCTGGGGGCACTGGAGGTGTATAATTAGGGGACAAGTTCCACATATCCAGGTACATCAAAGGTAATGGTACCAGTGTGTATATTTTGGCAGTATGTAGAGTCTTGTTGAGGATCTTGTAATATTTCTCTTATGATTTGGTCACAGATGTCTCTAGGGATTCCTTTCATTAGATTTATTGGTTATTTATGGTATTTAATTGTCAGGTTTATGGCTAGAGGTCTGTAAAGTAGGGTGTTGGAGAATGTTCTTGTTTGTAATCCAGTTTATTCGTAACGATAACAGCCTCTCTTTTGCCTGTCTACTTGATGATGATATCAATATTGATTCTGAAGCTATGGATAACCTCATATTTATTTATTTATTGGACTTATATACCGCCCCATAGCGCTACAAGCACTCTCCGGGCGGTTTACAATTTTTAATTATACAGGCTACACATCCGCCTAAGAATGCGTAGCACATTATGGCTCTCTATGACAATTAATTGAATTGAAATAGAAATTGTTAATTATCTCAGGCTGTATGCAGTGCCAAAAACACTGAATATAGAAATCAAGTTATATGCTTTGGCTTTTATGATGATTAGTAAGCTGTATCAGAAGACATCTCCTTGTCCACATTAGATATGATTAACTAATGGTTTGTGGAGAACTAATGGTTTGTAGAGAAGAGATATTTAAAGATACTTTTGGCAAGCAGACCCTTCTGTTCAAACTGTTCATTCCAGTCTTGTGTACTTATTCTTCTTTATCAGCTTTTCTGTGAGTAATGGAAGAAAGCTAACTAGATGAATATTGACCTTAGTTAAGATCTTCACAATGTGTGTTTCCCTAGTGTGAGTGTGTATGAATGGGTAGATGTGTGAAGAAGCCACCCCATTTTGACAGTGGGCTCCAAAGGGCTGGAAGATAAAGCTCTTCCTAACTAATGACCCAAATAGCAGGTCATACAATTAAATGATATAACTAACTTCTGCAAACATATGTAGGCCAAGATTGAGCGGTGTACTGTAGTATGCAACACCAGAGGAATTTGGAACTCATTTGTCTCCCACTTCTGCTGTAGACCTCTGAAATGTGCCCTTCCAGATGCTGCTCCCCAGCCTTCTGCAGCTTTTTAGAGGGTTCAGGGAACTGGAAATAGGTCATTGCAGATTCTTGTGGAAACAATGGGATCCAGCAGAAGTACCCCTTTGGATTCTTGTATTGGAAATCTAGAACTTTGAAATGGTGGATAAATGCTTAAGTAGTAGTCTTTCAAGTACTTATTTTAACTTTATTGTCTGCCCTCTCTCTAGTGACCCTGCGATTGGACAGTCAAAGATTTTCGGAGGAGGGGACTAGAATTGTTAATGGACATCTGCTTTCACAGTATGGCCCAGATATCCAGCAGCAATGAATTCAGACAACGTTCATCAGCATCTCTGGACACAGGAAGAGCGAAAGAAGTGGACAAAGAAGAGGCACTGCAAATGGAAGCTGAGGCCCTGGCTAAGATGCAAAAGGAAAGAGTGGAATCTTTTAGACAAAGCACTGATACTTTAAGCAAATCCTGGCCAAGTGTACAAACCTGCAGAAAACAGGAGCATGATCTCATGGTGTTTCCTGAATCTGATGCCAAGAAAAAGATGGATGATAAGTTAAGTAAAGTTGATGTAGATAAACTTACTTGTGCGGAGCTGGAGAAGTTACTGCTAGAGGAAAATTTTGAATCCAGCAAACCAGCTGCATTGTCAGCAACTCCTGTGCTGAGCTCATCATTCCCTTCACAGTTTTATGTTACTCCTGCTGTTCAAAGAGGGCCGTGGGCACCCGCATTACCTGGGCCTTCTGCTTGTACTGTACCTCCTGTTTACTCAATGCCTTCTTACAATAAACAACTTGGAATCTTCCAAAATGGCTTCCATCCAGGTATGTCCACTTACCAATCTACAAAGCCTATTTATCTTAGTCTTCCAGAGAGGTCCCAGTACATTTCATATGCACTACCAAGTACTACATCTTTCCATCCACAAGGACGTTTACCTATATATCATTCAGCGCTTACACCTGAAATGGCAAAAGTATTTGATAAAATAGCAAGCACTTCAGAATTTCAAAAAAATGGGAGATCAAGCACTGACTTGGAAGTGACTGGTACTAAAGCTACAGTTAATTTGACAGCCTCTGAAAACTCCAATGATATCAGTAAATTTGAGTGGTTGGATTTGGATCCTTTAAATAAACCAAAAGGGGATGGTATGGATATATTGTATACCGCAGAAGATGGTGGAAAGGTGGCTTGTAGTAGAGTTGTAGAAGATCCTTGGGATGCTGTGCTGTTGGAGGACAAAACCCCTGGAAAATGCCATCTTGAAAGAAAAGTTAGTGGGAAATCTACTTCTGGGGCAACAATTACAAGAAGTCAGTCTTTAAACATTCGAACTGCTCAGCTTACTAAGTTACAGGGCCAGATATCACAGGTAAAATTATATACTGAAAATCTATTTCACTTTGAAACGAAAATTTTGTAACTGATTGTAAAAATTTGTAGTATGTAACTTAGATTTGATGCTGGAATTTTACAGGTAATTTATTGTTAGAACTTTCAGGAAATTGTGAGAAAAGACATTAATAACACTGTTTATAATAATCATTTTAGTTGAGTATATTTAAAGTACTTTCCAAAAGAATGCAAAATTCTTCACCATTTAACAAATTTAGAAGTCATGGAATAAAAAAGAGATCCTCTTATGGATCAGCAACTGGCTGAAGAACAGAATGTAGACAGTGTGAATAAACCAGTTGTTCTCACAATGAACCACCAGTTATATGTTTTGTAGTGGATGGTTTGAACTTTTTCACAAATGATCTGGAATTAAGAAAGAGCAGTGAGGTGGTCAAGTTTACTGATGGCAGCAAACTGTTTACATAAGTAAGGAAGAGCCGGAGAAACATCTCTTCAGTGGGAGTAGTCATAAAATGGCAAATGCATTTCATTGCTAGCAAGCATAATGTGATGCACACTGAGGGCAAATGTTCCTTATTTTATATATATGCTGATGGACAGTAAGTTGATGGTGACTAACCAGGAAGGGAATCTTGTAACTGGAAGAAATAGGGCAATGTAAATGTCAACTACCTGTACATCTACAAAGAAAGGGGCAAGTTCCATATTCAGGCTAGTTAGGGAAAGAATCCAAAATAAAACTGGCAGTGTTGGAATCAAAGTGGATTTGGTTTTAATCAATTTAAATAATGATTAATTTTTTAAAAAAATACATTTTTATTTAAATTTTTTAAAAATCAGTTATTTAAATCGTGATTTAGATCAATTTCATTTTGGAAAATCATTGATTTATCCACGTTGGTCAGAATGCTTTTATATAAACCTGTATAATGTAAACACACATAGAATAATGTATTTTTTTCAGATTTTTTAATATTTTTTTAACATAAGGGGTGACAAAGGAAAAAGGGAGTTGGGATTTGTGAGGAAGAGGGGAGACAATGACATACTAATATCCAATCTATACCTATTGCCATATCAAATTTTAAATCATTCTATTTACTCTTTTCTGAGATCAATTTCATTTTAGAAAATCATTGATTTATCCATGTTGGTCAGAATGCTTTTATATAAACCTTTATAATGTAAACACACATAGAATAATGTATTGAGCTCTGGTAACCTCATTATGCACCTTTTCCATCTCTACAACATATTTTTGAGGTTACCAGAGCTCAATACATTAATACATTAAAAGAATAATGTATTGAGCTCTGGTAACCTCAAAAATATGTTGTAGAGATGGAAAAGGTGCATGAAGTAGGTGACCAAAATGATCAAAAGGATGGAGCCCTTGTGAGAATAGGTAAGTCTGAGGTTTCTTAGGTTATGGTAAAGCGGGCACAATAGGGATATACAAAATAATGTATGGTGTGGACATTGTAGATCCCAGTAATAGAATCTGATAACAGTCATGAAACTCAATAGTGGAAGATTCAGTGTAGGCAAAAGGAGGCACTTTTTCATAGAATTTGCCACCACAAGATTTAGTAATAACTACCAACTGAGATGGCTTTCAAGGGAAATAAGACAAATTCATCTGTCCTTTGCTACCAGTCATGGTGGTTATGTATATCAGAGGCAGTGTGCCGCTGAGAACCAGTTACATCAGTTTTGTTAATGGAAAGATAATAACTGGTAATGATGATGATGCAGTTTAAGAACATGAGCTCTGTTGGATCAGACCTCCCTTAGTAGACAACCAGATGTCCTTGGGAATTCCGTAAACAGGATTCATTCCCCAGAGTAAATAATTACTGAGTGCTCATAATTCTCATAACATAGGAGATAGTTTACTCCTATATTAATTTATCAAGTAGTCCAACAGATTATTTTTGAAGAAATCTTTTCAGGATTAATTCCATTATATAGTTGGTAATTATATAAAAATGCTGTAGGTGCACAATTTTGCTGATAAATAACAATTTATTTTGCCCCTTATATGCAAGCTCTTCATTTTAAAAAAATGTCACTACATGAATTAATGGAATTAAAGACAATCAGACTTTGTTTCTCACACTCATTTTGCACAAGAATAATAGATTACAAGAGGAATAATTTCAAAGGTATCCCCCCCCCCCTAAATTTAGTAGGAAAGGATGTTATGAATAGTTTGGGCAGAAGCCTGTTCAGAATGTTGATTTCTCAAAGTTTCTAAATTTTAAATAAATTTTACAAAAGAAGAAGCTGTATGATCTTTTAGAAGGAACTATATATTTAGGCATGAGCAAAACATTGCTTGATATAGGAACAATCTCTACAACTCAGCAGGACAATATTTATGCTGAAAAATAAATTTGCACCTTCTTTACAAGGCAACAGAGGGACGTGGTGGCGCTGCGGGCTAAACCGCAGAAGCCTTTGTGTGCGGCAGGGTCAGAAGACCAGCAGTCGTAAGATCGAATCCACGCAACGGAGTGAGCTCCCGTCGCTTTGTCCCAGCTCCTCGCCAACCTAGCAGTTCGAAAGCATGTAAATGCGAGTAGATAAATAGGTACCACCTTGGTGGGAAGATAAACAGCGTTCCGTGTATAGCCACGCTGGCCACGTGACAACGGAAACTGTCTTCGGACAAACGCTGGCTCTACGGCTTGGAAAGGGGGATGAGCACCGTCCCGTAGTCGAACACGACTGACTAAAATGTCAAGGGGAACCTTTACCTTTACCTTACAAGGCAACATGTGATCTCTAATTGCGACTGGATGTGCATTATTTATAAGCCATTGTCTAGCAGTTAGTTGGACGATAAGAAGTTGGCTTAGTCAGTCCAAGGGTTTGGTTGTTATTTTTGCTGTGCAATTATGGGTGTTCTATATACAGTGGTGCCTCGCTTAACGAGCGCACCGTTTAACGAAGAATCCGTATAGCGATCCCTTTTTGGGGATCACTATACGGATCAGCCCCAATCGCCGCACTCGCTTTGGCTGCCGCATGACCCGAAATGGCCCCTATCAGTGTTTTCGCGCCCTCCCCTTGCTTACGGAGGTCGCGAAAACGCTGCAGGGGGGCATTTCGGGCCATCCGCTGATTGGCGGCTCCAAAATGGCCGCCGGAGCGAAAACATCGCTGGAGGGGTAAGTTTCCACGCTTATTGGAACACATTAAACTAAGTTTAATGCGTTCCAATAGGCTTTGCTTACCCGCACAGCGATGTTTTCGTATAGCGAAGGTTAATCCGGAATGGATTAACCCCGCTATACGGGGCACCACTGTATAGCTTATTTCGTACATTATTGTGGCAGTAATGAAACTGTTCCATAATTCTCAGATGTGCATCTTATCTATATTTCATCTTAGGTTGTATTTATCATGGGTGTTGTTTTATTTTAACACTTTATGGAAAATCTCATTCTTTGGGCTTACTCTGAAAGGTAAAACAGAAAGATCTAAATTTGTAATTGTCAGTTTTACCTGTCATTATAACTGGCCTTTTGTTGTTGGACAAATAAAAGTTAAAATACAGCAAATACCAAACATTAACTTGATCTCTTAGTCAAGATGAATATGTAAAGTCTATGACATTAAAAAAACCATTGTAAAATATAATTGATGTGCTGATTCAGACCACTAATTCATCTAAGGTAGTGCGCTCTCCTGCTAGTGAAACTAATGAATTGGTTGTCCATCAAATACTGTGAATGCCATAATTCAAGAGCTATTACTGTTCGAATTAAATTAAATTATGATGCTGGAGCTCCACGTGGTAACTTAAGTCCAACGTTTAAATGTTGTTTGGTTCTTTAGATCAGATACATGTTTTTGTTTTTCAACACACATTCACTTATATGGAATGGTAAGTAAAAATAGCTTATTTATTGTGAAAATGAACTGTACTACAGTGAAGAGTTGTATTGCTGGGACAGCGGAAGATATTGATCTGCAGGGTATGGAGAATCTTACCTGCTCTTCTCCTCTGTGTGAGGCAGTGCTAGGAAGAGTGACTTTTCTGGACTACATCTTCCAGAACCCACCAGCTAGCATGAGCAGTAGCCATTCTGGCCAGACAGCTCTTAAGAGCTGAAATCCAAAAATGCTTCCCCTCTCCCATATATCTTGTTTTAAGGAAGAAGCCCTCATAACTGTGCTCACTGGGCCTGCTTTTGCACTGTAGTACTTGCCATTGCAGGAAAGCAGCAATTAAGGCTTACTGGCTACAGTGTTTTTGCTAAGGGATCCTTCGTTAGGCATTGGGCAGCAGAGGTCCCCAGAACATCAGTTCAGTGGTGAGGCATTGGATCAGATGGATGCTCCATAGTGCATGGGGTGGAGATTGCAGCCAGTCAAGTAATATAGGTAGTGGTGGTGGTGCTGGGCTGCCCTCTGTGCTGTGGATGACAGAGGGATGTATTCTGTTGTCCCAGTAAGCACATTGATAAGTTATCTTCATCTGGAAACCACATTTTGAGCCCATTTAGAATTGTGTTCAACTAGAAATAAAATTCACGTGACTAATTTCAGAGTAAGAGAAAGAATTAATACCTTATTCTGTTCTAAAGATTGGAACTTCTGTTTCCTGAAAGGGGAAAGTTATATGTGGAATCCCTGGGTTTTGATTCAGCTGTTGAAATTGCTTATTTTTGTTTGCAGAAATCATTGTTCCCATGTCATGTATATTTCATAGCAGAGTGTATCATTATGTGGTTCATGCATTCCAGTAGTTCTTAATCTTTCATCTGCTTCTGGTCAGTGAATGTGCGACTTTTTAAACTGTTGCCACAGGTAAAGCCACAGATAAAGATAGGGACATAAAAATAGCAAAGACATTTATTCTGAGAGGCAGATATACATATGACAGACAGGATGTTCATGTATATTTCATAGCAGAGTGTATCATTATGTGGTTCATGCATTCCAGTAGTTCTTAATCTTTCATCTGCTTCTGGTCAGTGAATGTGCGACTTTTTAAACTGTTGC